CGTACCGTACCGTACCGCATTCCCACCAAACGGACAAAACCACAACAAAACAGCAGCTGTGTCGATTTCGCCAAAACAAGTGTTAATCTCTGATGGGTATCGATTATCGGCACTATGCAGGTTTTTTTATTGATTTATTGTTCATTTCAAACAACAATGAGATTTAACTTTTCTTTGTAGAACATGAACGAAAAAAAGCAAGGGACAGCTCACAACTAAACACTCCAACTCAGACTACTTTTATCTGTTTGGTGGAATTCAAGTTTGTTTTCGAAACTGAAACAAGTTTTTGAAAACGAAACTAGTCGCAACCGAGTCCGTTTGGTGGAGATCCGTCTTTACGAATAAATCAATCAGAGAGGGTTGAAGACTAAATAATCATTATAACACATGGTGGCACCATTGCGTTGGTGAATTAGTTTTCAAGTTCTTGAGATAAATTCAACTTTCATTCTGAAGTCGTAAGTTTCAAGTCGTAAGAATTCATATTGGCTAATATTTGTGACAAAAAACTTGGGACATGTGCGTGAATGTTTTTCAATAAAAATCAATAATCTACATTCTTGGAACTTATTATTTACATCATATTTTTCAAAAAATTCGATCCACCGATTTAATAAATTTGCAAAACGGATTCATTCATTACTCCTTTGTATTTACCTTTTCTTCTTGACCAAATGAGTAGAAACTTAAATCGGATTAATTCCCTGTATTTATGTGGGTGTAACAAGACACTTCATACGGGCGCATGAATAAAGAGGCGAGTAAGAACACACACACAGGAACATGGTAGAGTGCGTAACAGTGTAGTTTTTCTGAGTTACGTAATTCGAATCCAAATAAATTTCAATAGGTATTGACTTACAAAACTTCCGCAAGGATATTTCAAAAATATACTCATAGATTTCGATTGGAACCTATGAAAATTTCCATAAAGGTATGGGAGTTATAGAACAGGCCGAATACTTTCGTTTAATGTGAAAATATTTCTAGTAGAGCTATTTTTTTCAGAAGAAATGAGTTTTTTTATCGAAACAATATAGAGGGTTGCAGGGGGGTCATCTGCAAAAGGAAAATTTAACTAAATATACTTACAATAATCATCCTTATTTATACCATAGATACATATTCTAGGTACATGCGTCTTAGGTATCTTCAATTAAATTCACAATATTGCCTTATCTACTAGGCAAGCCTTCAAATTTCTTAGTGAGCCATATAGTTCATACAACATAGGTACAATAAACATCGTTCTTCAAGAAGGTGTGATTTTGGTTTCCTTCGATGTTAGTTTCTTATTTCCTAGCGTCCCAATTCCACAGATCTTACAATACCTCTGGGAATTACTAGGAAAAAATAATTTCAATAATAACGAAATTGATGAATTTGTTTCTCTCACTAATTTGTGTATGAAAATAAAACCGTCTCCAGGTAGAAGGTTGCTTTTATGAACAACAGGAGGAAACGGCTATGGGTAAATTACTTTTCCTCTTATCAGGCAAACCTGTTCATAAGCAGATTTGAAATGGAAACCAAAGAAAAGTCAAAGTGTTTTCCTAGGATATGGCTAAGGTATGAGGATGATATTTTCGCGATATTCGATAACAAAAAATCGAATATTGACAGATTTCCATCAATAAAATTCACGTATGAGTTACAAAATAAAGGACAACTTCCATTTCTTGACGTTTTGGTAATGAGGAGTCAATATGGAGGGCTAGAATACGATGCATTTAGGAAGGAAACCAGCACGTACAGATATATTCCTGAGAGTTCACATCACTGTGGACAGCACAAACGTGCTGGGCTGAATTTTCGAGTGCCTCGATTTTGACTTTTCCTCTCACACATGAGAGGTTCACAAAAGAAAAACGTACAATAGAGGAAATAGCAGCCAGTATCGGTTTCTCGAGGGGTATTATAGATGATATAATAAGGAATAAAGAGTTTAGGTCAAGAATGAATGGAATCTCGACTTTTTAAAACGACGAAAACCAACACAAATATATTTCAGTTCCATACCACCAATACACAAAGAACTTTGGAAAGATTTTCAAGGAACTAGGTATGAAGGTGGTTTTTAAGTCATACACTACAAAGCCTTTTAGCAAATCCAAAAGACAAGATCGAGAATTCGGAAAAGTCTGGAATTTACGAAATTAAATGTAAGGACTGGGATGCAAAATATTATGGACAGACAAAAAACTCTCTTAATATAATATATAAGTAACGCTTAGCACACCTAAAATATGGAAGACCAGAAAAATCAGCAGTCGCCTATCATATTTTGCAACAAAACCATTCCATAGACTTTAGTTCATCAAGATTAGTTAGACAAGTTCACAACAACAGGCATTTAGATGCCTATGAGAGAGTGTAGAAATAAATAAACATAATAATATTATGAATAACGACGAGAGATCCATACCTGATAGTATATATACTATATAGCTTGTTAAATAATATTTTAATTATTAGATTTAACTGACTATTACATAAGGACACATTGTAAAATTAATTTAAGACTAGTAGATAAGGCACAATTGTGAAATTAATTTAAGATACCTAAGACGCAGGTATTACCTACAAGAGGTATATATGATATGAATAAGGATAATTATTATAAGTATATTTACTTTAATCTTTCTCTTGAAGATGATCACTTGGTGATCGAAACACGTGTCGACGTGTTAAAATAACGGTTTGATGTTGGGAAAAAACACTAGTAGTATATGTTATAGAACATGTTGAATACTATTATTGTTCTGTGTAAAAATATTCCCAACAGCACTATTATTTAGAAAATGTGATTTTTCTTGGGTTAGGTGAGTCCTAGGTGAGTCCTAGGAAACTAAAACTTGGTATGTAAGTGCTTCTTAGGTCTAAGATGTGCTCTAAGAAATGATTTTCAAATATTCTAACTGAGGCGCCCCTCGTAGGAGTAAAAGGGGAGCGTTTACATAAGAAAATTACCTTTTCATCACAGTTTCCCCGTACCGCTGTATTTTCGGGTGTTGAAATTTTGTATGTAGGTTCGTTTTATGTTGCAGATGTGCAATAAGAAAGGAATATTAAATATTCCAACTGCGGCGACAGCCGAGGAGGGAAAAAGGCGCATCCATAAAACAAAATTATCTTTTCATCACTGTTTCTTAAATTTCTGGTGGGCGAATTTATATTCAGTATCAGCGGGTCGCTAGTGAACAAAGATGTCTAGTTCATGCAAAGAAGTAAGTTTAAGATAAACAAACTGGAAGCAAAAACCCCTCTCAAAACAACTACTTTTAAGAACACTGAGTAATATGAAAACACTTTTTTCATTCAGTTTGTCCTCCAAACCAATGTTAATCTTCCCTAAAAATGTACCCCTTCCAATTTAACAACAATTTAATTTCATTATGAAACCTCACACCAAATGAAAAAAAATCGAAAGACCAGATTACTCAAAAATGAATGAATACATCTAAAATGATTCTCGCTTTAAGAAAAATCAGTGGCTTATCACTTTTCAAATTGATTCAGAGCAATCTCCGCACAGAGACCACTCATAACAATAAAAAATCATGTTGTTCAACAGAAAATACATGAAGTCATAGCGGAGTTATCAGAAAAACAATAGCACCTTTATTTTTATCAAATAGGGTATGTTCATATGAAGTTTATTTCCTCAAAATGAATCCAAAAATAACCATTTCAAATATTATCATGTAAACCTATATGTCCAGGAATACGTAAAATTGAGTGAGAATATTCCTACCATAGTTCGGTACGATCCATAATACTTGAAATGAATCCAAAACAAATAAAATATCTACAGAGTTTATGACATTTTTACCAGAGATTGTAAATCTAAGAAGGTGCAGAGCCTCTTGAGTATTAATGACAAGTAGGTAGGTGCTATACAGACCAGTACTTAAAATGTATATTTTGGTTAGAATATATCTGAAAACACTGCCTATACCTCGAGGTATACACTGTGTTCATATACTTTTTATCAAAAGTAAGCCCCTGAAAAAGTCGATTTTTGAACTTTTCAATGACAGTGATACTTGCACGAAACTAAAAAAACACTTGGAAAATCGGAAATAGACAAAAATTTGAGCCTAAAAGACCCTTAAATTCTCAGTGATATCTTGTTACTACTGTTGAAATAGTAACAGGTCTGTTTTGCAATAAATTTTCAGATATCTGTGAAATTTATTGTTACTGAAGAACATAGCGTGACATGAAAACCTTCATCAGATTATACCAGTAGAAATATCGATTGAAACTATGCCACTAAGTAATGTTCATCCATGAGAACTCCAGCCACAAAAAATAATATACCTTCCTACGTAAAAGATTTAACTAACTTTGGGAATATTTAATTTCCTTATTGATATCCAACAATAAGAAATGCTGAATCTTATAAAGATTAAATATGGGTACTCAAAAGAAAATTTGTAAGATTTTTGGTAAGTACTGGAAAAACAATGGTCATTTCCTTCTTGGAGGAAATTCGAGGATATTCATTCAACAGTTATTCAAATTTATATCTAACATACCCCACAGGAAAATTAAATTTTGAAATTGACCTTGATCAAAAACTACTAGTATTATTAAGGCAACTTACAATTCCCTTAACGTATGTTAAACACTTCTTTGTTTATTATAATCGAAATCAGATATTCCAGGTAAGTACTAGAAAACAAAGAATCTAAAATTATTATTCATTGATCATTTTACATTCTTCAATAATGAATTCTAATCAAACCTCGTGGAGAAAAGAGATGACAATCTTTATGATCTCAACCTAAAGTGGACATTTAAACGTCCTCGTGTCCGTTTTACACCGTGTAAACTTGGCTCCTACCTGTCCACCGTACTTTCTCAACAGTTTATAAGTGGTTTTCATAAATGGTTAAAGTTTTGAAAAAACTTCCACGAACTATTCAAATAATAATATGAAAGTTGGTATTTTGAATTTCTCTTGCGCATCTCAATTAAAACAAACATCTTACCTGTTGTTTATCCACAACTAGAATAATTTGCACTCAACACAGGACATTTAAGAACACAATAATACTATTATAACTGCTGAATTTGTTCAATATGCACTACACCCACTTCAAATTAAAAACACACTTTTACATGATTTTCGCCGCCAACACGTATTTTTCGAACAATTTTCCTGAGTATGCGTAAAAACAGGAACAGCGTACGTCAAACGTGATAAACGCTTACAACTTAAACTGCAAAGCAAACCAAACAAGCGATGATTGCTACGACGAAGAAGGTAATCAAACGAAGATATCTTTTTCTCTCTGCGCACAATGTGATGCGCAACTTGATTCATTGACAGGTTAAAAGACAATTGACGTAAAAGATGAGTTCTTAAATTCAACATAAAATTGACCAATAGATGGAGCAAAAGATGAATCCATCAGATCCGTCGCTGAATTCGGGAACGTTTCTGAACGTTGAATGTTGATTATACACATCGAAAGGACGGCTAAAGGATCCTGTTACAAGTAATGAGAGGTCAGAGAAGTTAATTCAGAATCAAATATCATGGAAGTCGTAAACCTATATCTTTAGACAATATAAGTTTGTGAGTTCTGTGTACGCTGTTGTTATTATTCATACTCTGACCCTAACGGCAACCGATAAAAAAACATTCTTCCATTCAACAGTTTCCAGCAAATAAAATTTATTTATTATGTTCGAGACGATAATTGATGAATGCAGCAGCTGGATGAATTGAAGCGATTTTTCTTCACTGAATGATTGCTGTAATTTCGTCCATATTTGCGAAAAAAAATTTAAAAAAAGCATATTTTTTAGTAAGACTATAATAAAATTACAATAGAAGCAAAAAATATCGCTCTCTGAAACGGTTTGAGTACCTATATGTTTCATTAATTAAAACATGACATGAGATTTGACATACAATAATATATGTCCAGTTGATTCAAAAAGCTCCTTTTGATGTATCCAGTGCAGTGCTTGTTGTTTTTTTGCCCTGGGCGTAACCATTATAGCCAATTTAAGATATGTTCCAAAAGTAACTAGAAATATGGTTTGGTTTTTATGAAATTACCACTTTGTGGTTTCACTGAAAAACCAGTTGTATACAAAACATGGTTTCCTGAAAACTGGTTAACTAAACGTTAAAATACTAACCAATTAGTGACTGGGTACATGTCTTAGGACGCAGCCAATTGAACATAGAGGGCTGCAGATATAGTTTACTCGTCTGTGACTGAACGAAAAACAACAACTAATCGATGATTTTGTTGTGGTGAAAGTGACAATGGAGAATGTTCCTCCTGATGAAAATCAAGTAGTTTTCATAAAAGAGCTCTAAAACAACGCATTTTAAACTCATCATTACCTTTTTCTTTAAAAAATTATTTAAATACTTAAAAAAGAGGAATGCAATAATGCATTCAACATTTCAAGGGATTCGTTTCTATTTCATCATTTGGAAACATCGGTTATAGCTAATAAAGGACAATGAATATATTACCTGTATGAGACAAACAAAGATGACATATTTCAGAGGCGTGCTGTTCTGTTTACTTATATTCCGAGTTCCGAGACATTCTGCGACATATGACATTTTGTGCACCTAACCTATCTTCCTCTATATAAATGAATAACAAAACAACTGTTGTATATATGGCTTGTGGAGGTGGTATTAGAATATCTAGGTACGTATAAATTATTTCAACTTGATATAGGCGCTGTTGCCAATATTTGACTTAGAAACAAATTCTTTTGAAAATTAAAACCCAACATTTGAAACATCAATTTGAATACTTTTCGAAGTGAATTTTAAAAACTCATAAATCAAACTCAACTTTATTTTGTTCAAACTTGCATTCGCTCTAATAACCCGTATTGAGGAACATTCCCCATTGTTGAAAAGTACCTCGGCCACTTTCATGTTGCTTAGAGAAAAACAATAAAAAAATTCTGACCCAAATAGTTTTTGTAATTGGAGAGTTAATAATTAATTACACAATATTTTCACATTCTAGATGAGTAAAATCATATGATTTTCATGTCATTTCATCATTACCATTTTCTGAAAACAATATGGAAATTATAATGAATCAAGAACTTTTTAACTCTGATTAGTTTCCGGTTATCAACTAGTTTCTCATTTAGGTAATCGGGACAATGGACAAACTACGTTGAAACCCAGAGTGAAACAAATACAAATTTAATAAACATTAAAAACAATAATATTAAAAACGACTTGTTTCTGTTCACTACATTCAATTTTATCGCCTTTTTCAGCCGTAATTTAATTTGTGACCAATGAACTCAGGTGAGGCACACTTATATAAGGAACTAAGGTGTCTTTTCACATTAAAATATGCATCTATCTTTGAAGAACACAAAAGTGTACCCAACTTATAATTTCAAAAAACGACTCAGGTCATCATTTCTTTTTACAATCACCTATTCATTTATTTTAATGAATAAGATGAAAAACGGGCTAGAGTGAAGGATAGTAAATTTGTTTTCATGGTCAGTACATGAAATTCTTTAAATTTAGGGGCCCTATGAGATTTTCATCTTCTTCTGATGATTCATCAGAACTTGAAAGTTTGATTTGTTCAAAGGAAGGAAAAAGGCAATTCATTGAAAAAGTCTTCACCAAGATGTGTAGATCATGAAGTAAAATTACTTTCAAAAACGAACTGGGATTTTAAAGAACCCTCTCGAAACAACTACATTCATATAAACAGTGAATTAGACGGAATCAAGTACTTTCAAGGCAACTATTTTTATATGATCATTGAATTATACAGTTTGTATTCCAAACATTCTTTATGGAATTGAATCAGATATCATTCATAGGATGGCTAAACAATACAATATATGATATAGTTAAAATTTCTCTCACATGGAATACTGTCAACCTCAATGTTGGACATCAATGTTGGACTAAAAAATTCAGTGTGAAATAAATCACTCAATTCAATCATAACATTACGACTTTATGTCACGGATGAGGTAAATCTACTAATGTCAAGATGACAGTACGTAAAGACATTTATTCGCTTATTCAATCTTATCCCAGCCATAGGAAACTTGTTTGAACTGAAAGGGGTATGAGATAAATTTTTGGGAAAGAAAGGTTTTAGGCTTTCTACTCCTCCATCCTAATTTAAAGTTACTTTTGAAAATAAATGGCCAACTTCAATATTCAGTTTGAATATTATGAGATCAATTTTGGTTGGATAATGTATATAGTATTGGGCAAATGACTCATCAATGACACAATTGTCCTGTTTCAAAAGTAACCAAAAATAACATATTTTTCAAGTAACCTCGTTTAAAAATTCTAGTTGGTGTTAATTTTTTAAACATGTTTTCAGCAATTTAAAACAGTCAACTGGTATATATCGCGATTACTGATCCGGTTACTTCAATTTGACCCATTTATTTTTGATTATGAATAAAGGAATAAGGTATCTAAAAAAGTATTCTTGGACTGGGTAAAATCCGTGAATTATGACAGAAGTTTTATAAAATTTTGTTTGATGTTCTTAATAAAAAAAGACATGGTTTTTGTTTATTATGATACAGGGCAGTGTGGGTTCTTTTTTTTATTGGTAACATGGCAACACTGAAGAAATAACCAAAAATAGATTCGCTTAATAATGTCAATTTTCATTTTTCTCCCGCCGTCATATACACAGTGTAAATATTTACAGATTAAATGAAAAATATGTAAAAGAGAACAAGTTACTTTCCATAAATATAAAATTTTTATAGTTGTGCATTATTTTATTTTATTTTTTCATTTGGGTTTGATTGAATTCATGAATATGGAGGAGGAATTGTCAAAAGATTGCCCAGAAACTGAAAATATTTACTCAGATATCATTGAATTTGATCTGGGAACCGAAGTTGAAAAGGTACAATAACCTTTTTTTGTCAGTTTTCAATGTCGATAATTTCTAATTTTCAGCTCAAGGAAGAAAATAGTCGACTCGAGGATCATATAGACTCCTTACAACAGGACGTAGAAAAACTGGTAGAAGCCGTTAAATGGCTAAAAACATTACAAGATAATTTAGCCGAAAATATATCTTCTTTGTTTCTCACTGCCCAAACTGAACTGGCACGTAAAGATCGTATAATTGAAGATTTACGGAGAAAACTGGATGATATTATTTTTCGACGTGATGTAAGGAAAAGAAAACCCGAGTTATACAGTTCCCCTGACCATTTATCCAAGCGAGCAAGATTTGATCCACCTATCAATGTAGCAGATGACAGAAAAACAATCCACGAGAATAATTCACATGATTACCGTGGACATAACAAAAACAACTTTGAGAAAGATAACATTGATCATTTCAATATTGAAGAGAGGTCCAATGTAGTTGACGAGTGGAATGATAGAGATGGCAAACATGAAAATGATAGTACAAACAGTAGAGCAAAGAGGTATACATTTTTAAGTAGATATTTTTTAATGAATTGAAAATGTACTAAGTTCCAGTTTCCTGTACTCATTCTAGCTGCAGGATATATAGTCCCAACTAGCAACTGTAGGAAAGCAAATCAAAGAACTATACATTTAGTAAAATACTTCCCAATGGAATTTATTGTATTACAAAACTTGATAATTCACTGTTTCCTCTAGAAAATATTAGAAAACCAAAAACATTCACGAGACAATAATAATCTTATTCCCAAAAGAACCACCACAAACCAATATCTAATGATTAATTTTCCTATTTTCTCTCAGGTTAATTGAAGAGCATCAGCTAATTGGAGCTAAAAAATTTCCTCTGTTACACTCCAGAAAATATAGAAAATTTCACCAGAATCTATTTTTCTCAATATTTTTTTTGAGTTCTTAGAAGAATAAGCATCAAAAAGTAGGAACATTTTACTTTTCTCGATGAAAAATAAATGTAAATCAACAGTGGAACTGCTAAAGTGTGATGGTAATATTTCCACCTAAGAAGACGCCATCTATGGGATCGATAGAAGACCCAATCCACAAATATGAAGGATAACTGAGGCTTCCCCATAAACTGTTCATTGGAAAGCCAAACTTCAACTTCAGCCCCCGAACGAAATTCATCCTCTTTCATTGCAGCTCACACTAAAAGGCAATTCAATGAACTCATGATCCAGCATCAGAATGAGTTGCTTCAACTTGCCCAAATCTCATCAGTGGTTCAGCCTAGCATCACTGGTGTTGGATCTTGAGTTCATCTAGTTGCTGGAGCGTAAAAAGCTAACTGGAAAGTTCACTCTAAAATGTTATTGTGTAATATGAACCTCTCATGAGTCTAATTAGTCATTAATATGTCAGATTAATAATATGTGCCTATTTATTATCAATCAAGACATTTTTCACTAAGAATTTCAAGTTTTGAAAATAAAAAGACTGATTTTTTAAACGTTGATTATTGTTACGAAAGCTAAGTATGTAAATTTTTTATTTAATTATTTCATTTATGGGTAAAATTCATAGATATGACAAGTTACTGACTAAAATCAATCTTCAGATGAGAATTTCCCACAGTAAACTTTGGGAGTGAACCTTAACTATAGTTTTTGAAAAAAAATCTGTTTTTCCGTTAACCAATTGTCGCACCGAGTGAACAAAGCATCCACGTCTAACTGACTGGCTACCGTCCGACACTCAATAGATTGACTCAAACAATGAAACACCGTTTTCTCCACAAAAGAGTGTCTATCAAAGAATGTTTATTTTTTCATTAATTGCTATGAATTGTGTGTGGAGAGATTGGAAGAATTCAACCTCATACACAAGTCAATAAAATATTCTCGGACAGTCAAGCGACGTTAGAAGAGTCTAAATTGGTAGCAAATTGCCAAAAACGACTCTTCTTGATAGAAAGACTCAACAGATTGTCTCTGGTCTGCATTTCTGACCATACTGGCCTGGAAGGCAGTGAGGCTGCTGACTCCCTTGCAAAGGAGGGCAAGCAGCTTCATCGGGCCAGAACCTGTCATTAGCATCGCTGGCAAGAAGATTAATGGACTTCTAGCAGAATCTTCCAGGATTGGCTCACTCCAAGGTGTTTATTCGTCCTTCGAACAGTTGTTGAACTACAGTAGGGATGAACTATGATGTCTAACAGGCCTTCTTGCAGGTCACTGTCATTTGAATCATCATATGCAGAGACTCGGACTGTCGGAAGACAAGGTGTGTCGCCTCTGTTCGAAAAATGATGAAACAGCAGGGCACATACTTTATGCCTGCCCCTCTGGGGACCGAATAAGGTTTAAGTTTGGCAGAGCCGTACTCTTACCATTTGACCTGAAAGACCACTCACCATGCAAACTAATCGGCTTCGTTAAGAACCTGGGTTTATTTGGTCGAGTGTGAATAGGTGTGAGCCACAATAAACCCTTGTGGGTTATGGTAGAGGTTTGTATAGACCCACTCACTTTGTACCTAACCTAACCTAACGTTGATATTAATAATCACAGGCAAACAAGTTTCACACTGAAGACTATAAAAGTATATTTTGTATGATGATTAATTTTTTTTAATTTGCACTGATTTTTTATTTGTTTGTTTTTAGACTGTAAATTAGTATCATTTAAATTTTTTTATTTCGCCTTTATAGCATGTTGTAAATAAACAAATATCTAATCATTAAATATGAAGTTTTCTCAGGAATTTGATTGAAAAAGCCTTTGAACACTTTTATAAAAGTAAATATACCTTTATTTAAATATTTAGGTCACGTGGTACGCCAAAATTTATCAAAAAGTCAACTGTTATGAAGGTGCAAGAAGGTTGGGAACCCCTGTTCTAACTAATAAAATAAATGTGCAGTTGGCTTCTGTTGTTGACTTCTTTTTTCGGTAACCAAGTTTTTCCCATCAGTGATCACCCTTTGTCCCCCTTTCTGAGTCCGCGATTTTTTTTTCATTAACATCAAATATACTCATTAACAATATTAGGACGTATGCTTCCATGGCGGGAGTCAAGATTAGAGAGAATAAAATCTGGGCCTTCATTCGTGGACCCCTCGTCATACTACAGATGCCATTTGCTGCAAGATTTATATTATCGTATCATACTTTTAATATTTCACTTTTGAATTTATTAAAATTATCAACAAAATGGAAACAACTTAGAAGTAAAGTTGATGAATGCCACTGAATTGAAATGGTGATACAAAAATCAATGAATATCAATAACAAAAACTAATAACAATCCTGAACTTGATAATCTTTTGGCATCTATTCAATGTCGATATAACTAATTATTACTGCTGGTGAATGTATTAACGAACCAAAGTAAAAGATAGGGAAACACTCAAAATATATATTTATACATACTTTTACTAATCTGTTAGTATTTGCCATATACTATTGACTGATTGATTTTTAGTTATGGTCAAAACAACACAAGAATGAAAAATGGTAATATGTATGATAGAAAGGAAGATCGTTACATACACAGCAGGAAGGAGGATTCAAGACGTGGAGATAGATATTCAAATCATTATAGACGTACTCATGACAGAAAGGAATTTCAAAGGACTGAATCCTGTCAATTACCAAGGTATTATATGCATAATAAATTCTTTATTTTGTTAATAATGTTCTACAGTCTTCACAGTATCATCCCACATCTACTTCAAGCATAGGCTAAAAGTAACTATGGAATTGTTTAGTTCACTCGCAGATGGGGCAGTTTTAAGAACCGTCTGTACTGTCCGACCTGTCACTACTAAGGGGCAACTGCTCCTAAATCAGTCTGATCCTTGTTACTACATCTAGAACAAATATCAAAGAGAACATATTTTTTATGTATCTATCACACTGTTTCGTACAACTTCAGTCTCAACTTTCTTCACTTTTAATCAAATCAAGTCGAATTGAATTCTAACAAATCAAATCCAATATGACCACAACAAAATAAACAAGAGCTGCTTGTTTATTTTTTTATTTTTTCACATGTCCTTTCTTAAACTTAAACACCAACCTTTTTCCCCCCACTGAAAAAACCTCATTTTCTCCACTATCAACTTGCTGTTAACAGCATAATCTGTTTACTGGTTTAATAACATGGACTTTTTCCAAGCCCCTCATATATTTAGACTTAGTGGTTTAATAAATTCAAATTGATTTTTTTGTTGTTGCTTGTATTTTATTTCATTGCAATTTCAGTTTTTTTACTTGATATAATTGTAATTTTTCAGCTAACCTTTTTAATTTTTTATAGATTCTCTTAGGGATTTCAAATCAATTTAGATCATATTAGACAATGGAAGTCCGAACTAATGAAATAAATTCAAATTGTATGTCTTCCACAATCATTGAATTAATTGTATAGGGTCCTTCATTAGGCGCTTCCTATCTTTAAATTTAAATTATAAAATAAAGTGTGTGAGATATCAAAATTTTGTATTCGTTTTGAAGATCTATTGATGCCATATTAGGTGTGGAATATTTATTTATTTGTAACCCCCAATTTTTATACAATATATTAACCTTAGAAAGTTAACTATTCTAGTATCTACATATCTAATAAATCAGCCTACATAGGGAAAATTAAAATGAAATTGTGAAAAAAAAATAGTCTTATAAATCTAAACCATGCAGAGTATATCTAAGAGTGCTCTGAGAGATATGAAAAAAATCAATATTGGTCCCATTTCCCATTTTCCATAATTACACCTATGAAAGTCGAGACTGAAAGTTTGGTTGTTACGTGTCCTTCTCGGGGGAACATGCAGATTGACTTGACTGAGAAGAGTTGGGCAATTAATTTCGTTGTTCAACAATTCATGTAAGAATATTATGTCTGCACGTGCCCGTCTTGTACTGAGTTTGAGCAATCCAATAGTAGAGCGAATGAGTTCTAGCTGGCATGTTCATTTTGTAGGCAACATATCTAAGGAATTTATTCTGAACTTTCTCAATATCATTACTGTGATTGAAGTATGTTGGAGACCAGATACAAGTGCAATACTCAATCACTGATCTAACCAATGCAAAGTATAAGTATTTTAATAGAAAAAATGTTGGTAAAATCTTTTGTTGATCTGCATATGAATCCTAATATTTTCATCGCTTTGTTAGATATGTGTTCATACTGTAAACGAAAGTCCATCATAACACCCAGATCTCGTATAGATTGTACACGTTCCAACTTCTTCCCTGCAATACTATAATCAGCTGTATAAAGGTTTGATGACTTTGAAAAGGAAATACTTTTATATTTTGCCACATTGACATCCATATAATTCATCTTACACCAATCAGAAAAAGATTTAAGGTCAATTTGAATTTTCCCACAATCCTGCAACGAATCAATTGCTCTAAAAATTTTTAGATTATCTGCAAACATCAGTATTTCACAGTGAGTAATTTTTTCTTTGATATCATTTACAACGATATTGAAGATATCAGCTTTGTTACCAGACTTTAAAATTGGCGTTATATAACTTGATTTTCAAATGAGGGGGAATTTTCCCAAACTAAGTGAAGCTGAAAATAATAAGAATAATGGTTTAGCTAGTGTAAATCTACAGGTTTTCAGTAGCACCGATGAAATGCCATCTGTCCCGGATCCTTATATGGATCTAATTCCGATAATTTTTGTAGGATAATTTCTAAGGAAACTGTACAACTATTGAAATCAATTGTTTTCTCATAACTTAATATTGGTATTTCATTATCTTTATGTGGTCTATAAACTGATTGAAACTGGTCTGCAAATGCATTAACAATGTCATTTCCATTCTTATAAATATTATCCCCGCAGTACATAGTATCAGGAAAGCCATAATTTTCCCGTTTGTTGTTAACAAAATTCCAAAAGCTTTTCATATTTGATGTCAAGTTATTTTCAATCCTTTTAATATAATCATTTGACAAATTTTTGACACCAGTTTGCATCGGGCTCTGAAATCTGAAAATATTTGGTAGTCATCCCAAGATTTGCTAAGTTTATAGGCTTTATGAGCTTTTTTCTTTTCAATAATGAGTTTCTTCAAATCATTGTTGAACCAACAGAGAAATTTTAACTTAGTTTGCCTAACATACGGTACAAAGTTACATATACCCTCATACAAAAAATTATAAAAAATGTTAGTAGCCGCTTTTATATCTGTTATATTTCTCAATCAATACCAGCTAAATAATAATTCAATCCAAAATAATCAGCTTTCTTAAAATCAAAGTAGAAATATTCATACTCTAGTTTCTTATAATTATTCACTATTGATAGAGTCATTGTTAATGCTGGGTGATGAGCATCGCATGGCAACAAGCAGTCATTATATACATCTACGTTACAGTTGTGTGGTTCCTTTGCAAAAATCAAATGCAACATTACACCGTAACAGTTATTTTTGTCATTTACTTGAAAGAGATTTTGAAAAGAAAAACTATCAACTATTGCTTGGGCTGCATAGTTGCTATTATCAAAAGTTGATACTCCTAGCTCGTCGTTAAACCAGCTTATGTTTGTTGAGTTGTAATCATAGTTCAAATGTCTGCTATGGCTTTTCTGGGTGGAGCCCAACCAAAACGTCCAATTCTCCATGACTCTGGCGCATAAATCAGGCTGAATTTGACCAATAGGTATGTGGTTTGTGTCTTATTTGTATACAGCTGGGACTTGAGAGAACTGCATATCCAATGTGGTAATGAGCTGTGTTGCACGTACCGCCGTCCTGTTGAAACCACATGTAGTTGGTGTCCAGATCAACCAATTCAGGCCAGAAGAAGGTGGTAATCATCGGCCATTGATAGTGTTGGCCTGGAAAACGTCGTTGTCAAAGAAATATGGTCTAATGACGCCACCAGCCCAAAATCCAGAGACCAAACAGTGACTGTTTTGAGATGCATGGGACGCTTTTGGATCTCATGTGGATTGATATCGTCCCAAATTCAAGAGTTTCATTTGTTTACTTACTCATTCATCCATAAATGGGCCTCATTGCTGAATATGATTTTTTGAAGAACTGCTCCAGAGCTCACTCAGGGAAGACACGTCGCGTTGTTGTCTATGGCCGTTTACCTTCAGGTCCTGGGTCAATTGAAATTTGTATAGGAGCAGGCCCAAGCCATGACGCAAAATTTGCCAATTCGTGGTCTGTGAAAGGCCGAGTTCTTGTGAGCGACGTGAAATCAACTGCCTCGGATTCTGCTGTACATTCTCACATACAGCGGCGATGTTTTCGGCAAATTTTGCGTTTCGTCCAAGTACGTACCAGTGGATTTATATTTATCTAACACATTGCGAATAGTCCTCTTGGAAGGACGATCATGGTGACCGTAAAATGGACGAAGTGCGCGGTATGTTGCCCGTACAGAACACCCATTATGATAAAACAATTTTATTATTTCCACGTGTTGTTTAATGCTATATCCGTCCATGGCAATTTGGCAAAACAGACTGAATCAATAACAGATAATTTGACCAACGTACCTTGAACAAGATGGCCGTTATCACTCGTCAAAGTTCGGAAGTTTCTGTTGGAAGACCCTATATAAAAGTGTAAAAGAAATCTCTTGTATAATTTTCTGGGGTTGTTGTTATGTTGTCTTAGAATTCGTATTTTATAGAATAGGATAAATGATTTAGGCGGCTGATTTCATCTAGTTGCATAAAGTGAAAACTGCGGTAAAATACACAAGACGAACCTCGTTCGGTGGCCGATGTCGAAGATTGGAATTGCAACTGACCGCTTTGGAGAGCCTCATTTATCTTTGATATTCGTGGATTAAGTCTTCTGGAAATCCCGTGAATAGTGTCTCCATAAGGGGAGATGTTATGTCCTCTAAGAAGACATGATACCAGCAGTCATTTGTGGTTCGGCATAGCACCACTGATGAAACCCAGGCGTGTTGAAACAGCACTGTCTGGTGTTGGATTTTCAATTCTTCGTTTTTGGGCTCTGGTTTCATCTAATTGCCTTGTAGTGGAAGCTGCAGTGAAATACGGATGACAATTCTTGTTCAGCAATTATAATCGAAGCTTGGCTTTGCAACAGACCGCTTTGGGTTGCCTTGTTCAACTTTGTTATTCGTGTATTGAGATGACGTTTTCCTATGAGCATCCCATAAGGGCCACTTTTTCAAAACAAACACTGTTTCCTAACACCAAAATAAATTAGCGAAAAAGAAGGACAGTTGGTTTCCCATTGCCATGTCTTCGTTCTGCAGAAAAAGTTGTAAAACTGAAAGTAATTCTGTTCCATGCAGATTT